ATGTGGTTTTCAGGAACCTATTGTCATAAATCTGAGGACTACCTGTATGCAGATCTCAACTTGGCCTCCTCTGACTGAAGGCTCCCCTATTTACTGGACGCCATCATCTTTATATCAAAGGAATGCCAATGACAAGTGCTGCAGGGTTAATTGACTTTAAATTATTTTAAAATCTACTTGCAGATTTTAAATCTGCACACACATTTTGCTTCTGGTTTGAAACCTTAAGCAGTTTAATCAGTAGTTTTACAGGTCATCTTTAACATATAGTTTGTTCTAGGAAAACTTCTGAATTTAAAATTGTTTCTGTATTCTTAACTTACTCCACTGTTTATTGTAGTAGCAGAAGTCTCATATCTGTAAGATGTCTTATACTATAACACTAAGTACCCCTGCAGTAGGTTCCCTGGGAAAAGGATAATTGCATTTTTTGTTTTTGTAAAGCCAGTGTATACCTATGGCCTGGTATAAATTTGTAGGATAATACTTTAATGTGACAGCAAACCTGAGAACAGAATATCAGCTGTAACCTTGGATAAGCTTGTAGCTGTTGACTTGTAGATTAATATTGTTGGCACAATATTGTGAGAGAGGTTGTGTCATTGGGTATAATTGTCTGTTTTTTATAGAGAAGGAAAACTATATATGTTTTTATACCCCAGGAGTCCCAGGAAATAATTTTCAGAGAATACTTTAGTGTAGAAATTAACATACAAAATCGGAATAAGGACAGTTTTTATATATACTTTGTAGCATGTTGGGGTCCCACACTTGACTAGTCTCCCAGTACTGCTATAATATGAAAATTCAGATTTGTGCTGAAACTAGTTTTCAGATAGTATAGATACATATAACATCAAAATTGTTCAACCTTCAAGGCGCTAAATCTAGACTGTGGGAGTTGTGTATTCCTTCATTTTAACCAGTTATAGAATAGAGTATTTTTGTACACAAGAATTTGCATTTTTATGTGTCCTTTTACTCTTTCAATTATTTTTTCTGCTTAAAAGGCTTTCCAGTGCATGCTGTTGTTATTGAAGGTAGAAAAAATTAGAAGTGGGTTTGTGTGTGGTTTTATGGGAATAGCAATTAGAGCCTAAAACCACAGAAGATACTAGGAACTCTACTGGCTGCAATGATGAGCCTATTAAGACTTTCATCTTTAGTTGTTCTGAGGAGCTGGCTTGACTAGGGAGTCAGCTGAATGAGCACACTTCACTTGTCTAAAAATAAAGTGATTATGGGAGCTAGAATTATGAGATTTTCCATATGGGCTTGTACAGATGGCTGCTGAAAATGAGGGACCTCTTGAGGTTGCTGTTTCCTGGTTAAATGTTCATGCAATGTTTCACTTAAAAATATAGACAAAAAGAATGCATTAATGTCAATAAATGACCATACCTTATGTTAAGTAGTATAGTGCTGTCTTGTGTCTACTGAATGTTTTGATTGCAGTACTGTCTTGGTGTTCTCCTTTTTTTCTGAATTTTTGAGGAGGGAAAACACAAACAAATTTGTCTGGAAAGTATAGGGCAAAGAAGAAAAATAGAAAAACTTTATTTCAGGAGACTTGAAGAAGAATGCACTGCATTCAAAAGCTTATCTAAATCTATCCTAACTATGGAGTTGGTTCAATAAAAGGTATCTCCCACAAAAATCCTTGCCTATCACCATCTTAATTTCAGGAGGCAACAATTTTTTATTTCCACGTAGGTTTTAATTCCATGTAAAATTGGATTTAGAATGGCATTCTGACAATCCCTAATTCGGCTGGCATAATAACTAAAATGAATGTGACATTTTATATGTAAAGATGAAATAATTAACTTGCCTTTGAGTCCTGAGGAACGCTGACAAGTTTCTAATTGTTGCTGTAACCTGTCAGAAGCCAAATAGTGTGGTCTGTGAAGCTCTGCTATAGGACTATTACCTCCAATTTGAAAGCTTTTATATAGTCACTGATGTGGTCCAAATGTTCCTAATAGTGCACTGTATCCATAGCTGTGGAAATTGATGTATTCCTCCCTTAGTTATTTTAGGCATGTACCTAATTTTACCTATGTGAGAGGTCTCAATCTTTATTTAGAATGGATCTAAACAGTATTTAAGCTCCTTCAAATATTTTCTGACACAATTGAGAGATCCTGTTTACTTGTACATGATGCACACCTTTTTCTCCAAAATCAGGGTGCATGTCTTAAACAAGGAAGCTTATTTCTTTTGACTGGAATAGAAACATGGAGAGTCATAGCTTCGAGATGGCTGCTAGCTTCTTTCTGGTACTGCAAGCAGGAGAGAGAAAGTCCCAGCTAATTTGAGAGCAGCTGTGAAAAGGTTAACACTGGACTTTCTCTCTCCTGTTTACTGTCCCAGAAAGAAGCTAGGAGCCATTGCATAGCACTACCTCTATGAAAGAGCCAGCTCCAGGCTATGACTCTAGAAAAATTGTTTTTTTCTGTTTTGCCTTCCGAAAGCAAGGTGTGTGGTATGGGAGAAAATATGGCAGTTATAAATTTTGTATCATGAGCAGCCCCCTCCTTTTTTTTGTCAAACCCCATTCATCGCAATTTCTAATTCTCTTGTGTGTGATGCATACAAAACTGAGAACAAACTGCTCGTTGTCAGCTATGTATTGTTTTTGAGGGAGTCTGGCACTTAATCTATTGGCCTTTCAGTATCTCTGGTAAAAGGTAACTGAAGGTGGATTGGCATGAATTCCAAATTGGATGCGATTGAGCTTCCAAAGGAAGGAAGAACATTTTGCGTGAGCTTTCTTCTAATCAATGTTTGAAGTAGTAATTCACTTCTTTGGCTCTCCTGTGGTGAAAGGTGTTGTGGGGTGGGGGGTGGTATGGTGCAGGGTTCAAGGGAAATGATGGTTTGGAGGTACACAATGTACTGAACCCTCTCTTGGGCCCTTTCTACACAGTACAGGTATTGCACAATTAACTGGTTAATTGTACAATTGCTTTAAAACCAGCTACACGTGCAAAGTAATTATCAAACAGTAAAAAGCCCTAACCAGCTATAAAGTTAGACTTTGAAAATGTGAATTAACTTTAGGTGGTTGCTACTGAGCTTTAATCTGCATGTGTTGTAGTTTCCCCTGCAGCTGGGAGCCACATCAGCTGACAGGTCTCTCAGCTACAGGAGTGCATCATGCTCAGCATGAAACCCCTGGGCCCCAGGGATTGAGGCAGCCATGATCTCCCGGACTCAGGGGTGCATGAAACCTGGACGTGGGGGATCAAGGCTGCTGCAGTCCTCTAGGCTTGGGGGTGCATTCCCCCAGCCTCATGGGTGCATGGGGTGTTCCTGCAGCTGGGAGCTCCTCAACTGAGGGGGCTCCATTGTGCCATGGCAGGAGACATGATTGTGTGGATCCTTTATTAAATATCATTGCGCCTTTACCCGCATGTGTAGAGGGGGCCATAAGAACATAAGAAGTGCCATACTGGGTCAGACAAATGATCCTTCTAGCCCTGCTGTTCTGACAGTGACAGGAATGGGTGCTTTAGAGTAAGAGCAATGAACCAGTTATATTTAGAATTTCATAGATTCTAGGGTTGGAAGGGACGTCAGTAGGCCATCTAGTCTGATCCCCTGGCCCTGGCAGAAAAGAAAAGGGTCTCCAAACTTGGAATCATGTGATCCCAGCTAGGTGCCTGTCCAGTCTCCTCTTGAAGACCCCCAAGGATGGGGTGAGCACCACCTCCCTTGGAAGCCCTTTCCAGATCCTGGCAACCCTGACCGTGAAGAACTTTTCTCTAATGTCCAGTTTAAACCTACTCTCCAGTAGCTTATGGCCATTGTTCCTTGTTGTTCCAGGGGGTGCCCTGGTAAACAGATCATTGCCTATTTCATGTTGCTCTCCCCTTATGAATTTGTATGCTGCCACAAGGTCCCCCCCTCAGCCTTCTCTTGAAGAGGCTGAAGAGGTTTAAGGTCCCTTAGCATTTCCTTGTTGGTACTTCCCTACGGGCCTCCAATCAGGAATTATCTTTGCTTTGTTGATTACCCTTCCTGGTATTCACCATCTTGGTTTAGGGATGCCAGAGGAAATATCTCCTACTGGTCTATTGAATATTTATTAAAAGATCTATCATCCATGAATTTGTCTAGTCCCTTTTTTGAGCTGGGTGTACTGGCTGCCTCTACAACTTCTTGTGATAAGGTCCACAGGTTAAATATGTGCTATCTAAGAACCTTGCCTATCTAAAAATATACTTTCTCTAACCTGTGTCTTATTATTTTCAGTGTGTGTCCCCTAGTTCTGTTATTTTGGGACCGACGAATAGCAGTTCCAAGTTCACTTGATCCCTTCATGTTTTTATAGACTTCTGTCATATTCCCCTTCAGCCTTCTTTCCAAACTGCAGAGCCCTAGCCTTTATAGTCTCTCCTGGTATGGCAACTGCTCCATACTCCTGATCATTTGAGTTGTCTTTCTTTGTACTTTTTCTAGTTCTACTATATCTTTTTGAGATGTAGAGACCTGAACTGCACATACTATTAAAGATGTGGGCATGCTATGGATCTGTGTAATTGCATGGTGATATTTTCTGTTTTGTGTTCAGTTTCTTTCTTAATGATACCCAGTATTTTATTAGTTTTTTTTGGTTGCTGCTGCACAATGGGCTGATGTTTTTAGAGAACTATCTACAATGACTCCAAGGCCTGTTTCCTGAGTCATAACAGCTAGATCAGAACTCAGCATTGTTATATATCAATTCCAGTTATTTTTCCCCATGTGCATTACCTTGTACTTGTTGACATTTGAAGTTCATCTGCCATTTTTGTGTCCACTCTCCTGCTCCTGTTTCTTGCCCTTGCCATATGCAAACAAATGAAATTTTAGTAGCTTAATAAAAACGTTACACTTTTCCTCTTTGGTTTTCCAGGCTCTTTGTATTCAGCATGAGTGTTTTATTTTTTTAGTTTTCTTTTATTAAAACAGTATAGTAGATGGACAGAAATTATATCTCCCCTATCTCTTTACAGGAATGGTTTTTAGGAAAAGCATTATATGATGAAGAATCTACAATAATTCACCATTATGCCTTTGCTGAAAATCCTACAGTCTTTAAATTTCCAGATTTTGCTGCTGGCTGGGCCCTCAGCCTTCCACTTGTAAACAAGTAAGAATTGTATTTATGATCTTTTCTAGAATTGCATATTGATCCTTAATTACATACACCTTCAACATTGTCGAAAAAGCCAGTATATGAAACTCTAAGAAGTATTGTTTTCAAGGGTTATGATTGTTCACAGATGAGTTTTTTATATAACATTAATGGTACGCCCGTAATGCAGTGGGCAGAGGTCAGTCTGTAGCTTGTATAGACATACCTGAGCTAGCTTTGAATTGTCTAGCTCAAGTACTGTGAGCAGTGTATCCCTGGCAGCACAGAGTTCAGCATGATCTAGCTGCCCAGGGTTTACTTTGGGTTCTTGGACAAGTTTTACAGCTTGTGCTGAGGTCTGTTCTGCTGCAGTAGCACTGTTATCAGCAGGGATCCAGATTTTCTATTTCCTGTGGAAAAATGCAGATTTTCCCCCTTTAAAGGGGAAAAAAGTGGATTTTCCATTTTATAAACAGCTCCCTGTAGGCTGGCAGAATTTCAGCCTGCAGCAAGCTGCATACAAAAAGGGCACAAAACCCTAAGCCCTGTCTGGAGGGGAAGGGGCAAGGAATGGGTCCTGACGATCTGAGATAAGCTAGGGCTGGCTCAGATTCACTTTGCCTCCTGCAGCCTTTGGGGCAAGTAGGGCCTGGGGTCTGGGGCAGGGACAGCTGGGGACCCCTTCTGGGAGGGATGGCCAGGGCAGGGGGCTGTGAGTCAGCAATGAGGGGCACCAGCAGGGCTGCCGGGGGCCATGTGAGTCAGGTGTAGGTCACGGTGCTAGGGGCAGGGCAGAGGGGGTGATGCTGCCAGGGCTGTGGGAGAAGGGAGGGCAGCGGGGAGAACAAGTAGGGCTGGCGAGGGGCAGGGCAAGAGTGAGCAGATGGGCAACTTGGGCCATGTGGGGGGTGGGGTGGCACTGCTCAGAATCACAAAGCAGCAGGGGCGACAGCCACAGCTAGACCCATGTCCTGGTACAGCGGGGGAGCTGCTGCCAGGAGGGAGGGAGTAGGGGGCAGTGATGAAGGGCTGTGGGTCAGGAGTGAGTGGCATTGGCAAAGCTGGGGGGCTGTGGCTTGGAAGTGAAGGCATTGGCATATCAAGGCTGATCAGCACCACAAAGCAGTGTGGGGGGGCAGCTGCAGTTGTACCTACATCCTGGTGCAGGGAGGAGCTTCTGTGAGTACGGTGCAAGTGGGGGATAGGCAGCAGCTGCAGGTTGGGA